AACAGAAAAGAGCTAACCCAGCAGCTGACAGGAACAGTCACTGTGGAGAGTCAAGTCCAGAAAGAAACAGCTATGGGCCCAGCCCAAGCCCCTCCCCATGTTCATGCTGCCTGTTCTTTCCCCATAAACCAAGCCAATGTTTAACTGCACTGGACCTGTGGTCAGCTTCTCCCACCTCCTCTGCCTCGCTGAGCATCGTGACAGCCTGCCAAGAGGGACAAAGTCCATACCTGCGAGGAGAAGCTACTGGCCCTATAAGTATGAGAGGGGTTGGGGTGAGAGGGAGCCCAAGATGGGCCAGGTACAGACTGGGGAGTCCTGAAGGGCATTCCGCCGCTTCCCCTCCCCAGGCACCACCATCAAAGACGAATTTAGTCCTGGGGTGGGAAGTGGAGTTCACAGTTACCTGCACCCCCATATCACCTACACTAGTCTCCTCAAAATTCTAAAATGTGCTAGCATTTTCTCTGTGAGATGGCAGAGACCACATCCCCATCCCAGAAAGGAATCACTCTCAGCCTGCTTTCTCAAAAGGAGCATGCTCTGTGGTGTCACTTGTAATGTTCCAGCCAATTTCTTAAGGTGTAAGCTGACAGTCTTCCGCTTGAGCAACAGAAGAGTGAGAAGCATCCATGAATTCTGTGCTGTCCTCAGCATGAGCCTGACCAACAGCGGGCCTGAGTCATTAACTGGACTTGGTAGCACATTGTCACGCCCCGCTACATGAACCATTGCTTTCATATGAACAAAAGAAAAGCGCTTCTTATTTCTCCTGATTCTCTGTTATCTATCAACAGCATCGGGCTAATGGCTTTCCTTGCTGCCAAGGGAATCCCCTTTATGTGGGCATCCTGTGCACCCTCTTTACAGGCTGGAGCTGAGGCATCCTTCCCCTCCAGGCCCTTCTGAGAGTTCCTGTTGTGTACCTCCAGCCATGGTCTCTCATGGGGACTCCAGTCCCAGGCATTCCGGGTGTTGAGCAAGCCGGTCTGCCAGCAGCCAGGGTCCAGGCAGCTGGAGAGGTCTCAGCTGAAGGCCTGTGTTCTGAAGTACCCAGGACCGGGGTACTGGACGTTCTGAAGTGCCCGGGACCGGGGTACTGGACATCCTGAAGTGTCCGGGACCGGGGTACTGGACGTCCTGAAGTGCCCGGGACCGGGGTACTGGACGTCCTGAAGTGCCCGGGACCGGGGTATTGGAAGACCGAGGCTCTGAAGAGGAGCTGGAGGGGACAGGGAGGAAGAGAGGGCCTGTCCTCATAAAAGGTGGTGTCCAGCTGGTGTCCTGAGACTAGCAGAAAAATCAAAGTTTCTTGGCATAGGTAACTTCTGCCCCTAGTGACATTTCAGCAACCTGGACTTAGAAATTAACTGACAATGTTGGCAGTTTTCTCGTCTGGGCTGAGATAGGCAAGAAGGTGATTTAAACTCCCTGCTGGCTATGGAGAGTCCCATCACCGGATCCTCTCCCGCCACCTTCTTCCCACATCATGCCTCCTGCGTTATCCAGCATCTCCTCGTCCCACGACTGGAGCTTCAGGTGGGCAGGCCCTAATAGAAAACCATATTTGCTTTCCCTCCTGGCAGGTGAGGGTGGAGGGCTGGAGGAGTAGTTCAAATGTACAGCTTCTTCAGCCGCCTCTCCAGCTCAGGGCCCCATCCCCGAGGCTGCCGCGACACTGGGCACACTGTTACTGCTACTCAGGACTCACAGGGGCCTCCCCGCCCCCCAGGAGGGAAATACCCAAGGAAGGGGTAGATTTTACGTACTCCCACATTTTGCCCCAATAACCCACATTTACATTTCCAATTCTTTTCTCCCCATCTCCCTCATTATCTTAAATCCATTTTAATCAGTCATTGCCCCCAGCCCTCCACTGTAACTGCTCTTATCAAGGTCATCAATGACTTCCAAGCTGCTAAAACCAACAATCAATTTCCTTTCCTCATTTTCTTAACCTGTCTGCAACCTTTGCTGTGGTTAATCTCTCCCTCCTCCCTGACATAATTGTATCACTTGGCTTTCCAAAGTCCTTCCTTCTCTCACTTTTCATCCTACTTTACCAGCCTCTCATTTTCTGTCTCCTCTGCTGGTTTCTCATCTTCCCCCAGACCCACCAAAGGTCCTTTCTTTCTTTTCTCATACCATCAAAATGCTAATGATGCCCAAATACACACCGCCAGCCAGATCTCGCTCACAAACTCCAAACTCACATGCTACCGCCCAGTTGCAATTTCTGATTGAGCATCTAATAGAAACCTCAGCTCAACATTCCCAAAATCCACCCCCTTATTTTCCCTTCAAAACCTGCTCCTCTGGGGCTAGGCACAGTGGCTCATGCCTGTGCCTTTGGGAGGCTGAGGTGGGCAGATCACTTGAGGCCAGGAGTTTGAGACCAGCCTGGCCAACATGGTGAAACCCCGTCTCTATGTAAAAATAATAAAACAACCACCACAAAAAACCCTCGTGGCCTCTCACGGCTTCCACATCTCAGTAAATGGCAACTCCTTCCTGCCAGTCTCTTGGGTGAAAACTCTTGGTTTGTTTAGTTGGGTGGTAGCAGTGGAGGGGCTGAGAAGTGATCAGGTCCTGCACATCTTGTGGGGGGACTCTAGTCCCAGGCATTCTGGGTGCTGAGTTACTCACTCTTCCAGCAACCAGGGTCCAGGGAGCTTCCAGGACCTAGGTGTTTGGGTAAAGTCAGTAGTTAGGAGAGCTGGAGAGAATTAAGGATGACTCCAAGATTTTTGCCTGATAACTGGTCACCTTCTGCCCTCACTCCCCTATACTGAGTTCTCAACGTAGCAGCTAGAGAGATTATTTTAAAATGTAAGATTACTGCTGCTCAAAACCCTGCCCTGCGTCTGAATGTCACTAGAGTAGAAGCTGAAGTCTGAGAGTGGCCAATCTGCCATCCCTGATCTGCCCCTTCCTGTCCCCAGCCCATTTGCTTCGCTGACCTCCCTTTCTATTCACTCGCAGAGCTCCAGCCTTGAGTCCTCCCCAAACAAGCCAGCCAGGCTCTGGCTTTGTTTAAACCTCTGTTTCCTCTGCCTGGAGAAAAGCACTTTCCCCCTCCGCCCCACAGCACTCACATGGCCAGTTCTGTCACTCCTTTGCTCAAATGCTCTCAATGGCCACCCTTTTAAAAACTGCCACCACCCACACCCCACATTCCCTATCTCCTTTACCCAGCTCTCCTTGTTCTCTTCCTGTAGCACTCACTAATTCTGGAATGCCAACGAATTTACTTATTCATCCCATTTACTGTTTGGTGTTGGTCTCCCTCCTCTAGAATGTATGCCCTGTGAGGACAGGGAATTGGTCTGTTTTGTTTCTAGATGTATCCCAGCCACCTGGAACGATTCCTGGCATATGCCACGTACTCAGTAAGTATTTGTTGGTGAACAATACAGTCAGGCTCAGGGCTTGGCTGGGTATGCACCGAGGCAACTGACAGAGACTGGAAATTCAGCGGGATGAAGCAGGTGCTTGGGGGTGGACCAGCCACAGGTCCTGGACAGCAGGGAGATTATTTACCTAAGAGATGATGGAGGTGGGCATCCCTCTCACTCACCTCCCTAAAAGCCTCCCTGTTGCTTCTGATCTCAGATGTGTTCTTTGGATCACTTTCTCAGCTTCCCTGCCTTTTGGCTGTGGTTTTCAGCTGTCCGTCCGTGTTCTATCTTAGCCTTGCCTCAGCCCTTTCCCTGCTCTGGAACTTGTTTCAAATTAGATCTACTGAATGTTGATGCTGGAGGAAACCAAAGAAGATGTCACTTATATTTTTAGTTTGGAGCTAAAATTGTGCTTTGAGGACTTCTTCCTCCCTGAGCTTCTCACTAAACAAATACTACTACAGTCAAATTCCTTGATTACCCTCCCCTTTCCACCAAGCACAAAACAGCTACTTGGAGCTGTGAATTTAAAGAAAGGGCCCAGAAGTAGGATACATTACCGGAGGACAGCACACCCTGGAGTACCCCAGCATCCTCTCCAGGGCTTGCTCAGAACACTCTTCCCATGCCCAGGAGCCCAGGCCCTAACCTGAGAATAGTGAGTTCAAATAAAAGCACTAAACCAGGAGGAAAGTGGTGGAAGCGATCTACAGGGACTCCACTCTCCCCAGCCTTCTTCCCACATCAGCAGCAAAGGGTTCTCTCAGGAAGAGGCAAAGAGACAGGAAGATGACAAGATGAAGTTTAAAGGCGCATTCTCTGTAGGAGTTTGCTTTGCCTGGGAAATGAGAAGTTAACTGATGGTTAAACTGCTGGGAACACCAAAAGAAAAAACAGAAAAGTAGGCAGGTCTAGGTTCCTCTACTGACCACACACATCCTTCATCAGCCCACTTCCCTCTGCAGAGGAGCCGTTTCACTAACCCAGCCGGTGGCCCTGGGTGACTCACGCCCTCCAGAGCAAACCTGGGCCCCTGCCTGCAGCTCTCCAGCCCCTCAGGACACTCCCCTCCAGCTGCTGTCATCCATCAGTGAACAGGGAAGAGGAGTGCTCAGGCCCTGCACTCGATAAGGGAAGAAGTCATGGGTAGGTGGTGTAAGGGTTAAACAGAGAGAACTTGACTGGATGGCAGGACTCCCAAACCTGTCGGGACCCTCCACTGGAATCAGCGGGCTGGAAGGCAGGCTCTACCCACAGAGGAGACCACAGCCGCCACCCTGCTGCCTCCACCTCCCCACACAGGACCCACATGAACAACCAAGGGCCATGAGTGCTCTTTTCCCATGCAAGACACAGTCAACACATTCCCAGGCCCACACAGACTCACCAAAGAGCCCTGGGACCCAAACATTGCCAGACAAAGGACTGGGGAGAGCCCCTTATCCCCCGCACTCCAGTCACTGCTCCCGTCCACTTTCCCCTGCCAGCCAGTGGTTTGCATTAGACCTGGAAGGCACTCGCTCCCACCTCTTCGTACCATTCCTGCTAATTCTCAGGCCAACCTTTACCCAATTCCAGAGAGGCTTGGGGAAAGCTGCTCACCTCCTAATCTCTCTACCACGTGAGGAGCTAAGCTGGTTACCAGGTTCCAGACCCAGAGTCCAAATGCCAGCTTAGTCCCCAAGTCTCCTGCTTTCGCCCTGGGCCGGCTCTGTCTCTCCTGATTCTCCAAAGGAAGGGTGCTCAGGCCTAAATTCCTAAACAAGCATGTGGAGCATCCAGCACTAGATAAAAAGTGAGTAGGCCTTCCCTCTTCCCTCACAGTGCAAACTGAGCAAAGTCCTGTGATTTCAGGCCACCGGCCAGAAATTCCTAGGAAGAAGGGGCACATCAGCCCATTCCCATCCTTCTGGAAACATTCAAGTTAACCTCCAACCCAGGGCCAATCCCCAATTGCCAGAGACCTGGGACCCAGACTCCATGGGCCCAGGGCATCTCTTGTGTTCTCCCCAGCCCCAACCACTCCGCTCTGTATTGAAGGCTTTCTGTCTCCAAAATCATGGTGAGACTGAAGCTGGATGCATTCAGCAGCTCCTACTCACCTGCAAAAGTGTAGGTGTTGCATTAAAGGGCCTCAAGTCCTGTGGCCCATAAACTTGCCACTCCTCTCATCATTTTCCCTGGTGACCTACCTCTGTATTCCACATTCCTCCAGGCCCCATGCAGTCTCACTACAAAATCAGACCTGGGAGCCCCAACCCCATAAGCTTTACCCATCAGCAAGGGGATATTCCTAACCCACTGGCCATTGTAGAAATACGAGCAGAAATCTTCTGCTCGTATTTCTACGATGCCATGTTAAAACAGAAAGAGCCCTGGGCCACTCACATAACCTCTCTTGGTCTTAGTCTCTTACAGAGAGTCCTTAATGACCTCTAAGTGTCCCTCTAACTCCAGAATTCTATGCATCTATGGAAGTCCCAGAGGGGCCGTAAGCCCAGAAGATGAAAGTATCTTCCTTCCAGGAGTGGATGGGGTGGCATGAGGGCTCTCACCTCCCCCATTTTTGTAGCAGAGATAGGGAAACCTCCAGACGTTGCCTAAGCCAATGATCTCCCCGGCCACTGACAGCACAAACTCAATCTTGTTGTTCCAGTGCCCCCGCTCCAGGGTGCCATCTTCCTCCTTCTTTTCCATGACTGGATACGCTGGTTTTGTCTCTCCATTACTGGTTGTGCCTGAGACCCTGCTATCCATCCCACCTGGAAAACAAGTGGGATGCTCTGTTACTGTGGGGAACCCCAGAAGGAAAGCCCTCCTCCTCCTCCTTTTACCAACAAATCCTTAAGGGAATGAATGCACTGGAAGAGGTGAATTTCCACTCGCTTCCCTGTAGACCCAGGCCCTCCTTAGCATCTCTCACTGGTAAAACTGGGTGACAGCTGCTACTAAGAATATATATTCCTTTCCTGTTTCAGGAAGAAAGGGTTGGTGCTGAAGGACAGCCTTTGCTTCCACTATAAGGCCCTCTTGGGTTGAGGTTTGTGGACATGGAGGAGCCTGTTGACGGGCCCCCGTGCTGTGTAAGTTCTCCCTGCCGCCCTGCGGTCAGCCTCATCGGGATTCGCATGTGCTTCAGTTTCTTCACTCTGTATGCTGGGGAGCGCTGAAAGGATGGGATATTACATGTCCTCGAAGCCACCAATTTCCCTTGCAGGAATTTACCCTAAGGAAATAACTGTGACTGTGAGTGAAAGGTGTAGCATTAGGATATTTATTGTTTATAACAGTGAAAAATCAGAAAGTACATAAATGGTCAAAAATGATAGATATGTTGATAAATTATGGCACACTCATGTAATGGACATACAATCATTAAAACCTGTGTTACAGAAACAGGTATATCCACACAAAAGGAGGTTCACAATATATAGTAAAAGCAGTACATACAATATGATCACACTTGACAAACATTTTATAAAGTCTATGTAGGCATGGAATGATTGGGAGGTCCACCAAAATATATCTCTTTCAGCAGTTGGATTATAGGAACATTGCCTTATCTATATTTTCTACATTTACATCAAAGAATATGTTTTACTTTTGTCATATAAAAATGAAAGCCAGTTTTTAAAAAAATCCATCAAAGGATTGGGAGAGGTTGAGTGGAAAGAGGACTTGTGAAGATGAGGTGATATGTTTAAGCACTCCTTCTATGTCTTTCTGAAATCAACATAAGGGAGGGATGAACCATGTGCTCTTTTTCTTTTCTGGTGATGACAAATGCAGGAGTCTGTGACAGTAGAGACGATGACATAAAAAGTCACAGTTTCAACCATTCACTGTCAGAAATGGCCCATTCCAGACCACTACTGGGAGTGAGGATGGCTGGATGTGGCTCCCATTTAGTCAGCAACTACTATAGACTAGGCGCTTCACATACATTCATTTCATTTCACTCTCACTACAACCCTGAGATGTAAGCATTATTACCTCCACTTTATAAATGAGGAGGTTGCAGCTCAGAGAGGTTCAATAATGTGACGGCTGCTGCCATGTAGCTAGTAAATTGCATAGCCAGGACTTCCACCCACTCTGCCCCTGCTCCTTCAGTTCCATCCCTTTGACTACATTGGCTGTCTAGTTTCATTGACGTGTCTACTCTAAGCATCTTCTAATGACTCTGCCTTGATTTTGCACAGTGGCCTCTTTTCTGGAGAAGTAGGCAGATGGACTTTTTTCTAAGTTTCAAGTAAAGTTCATGTTAACAGAACTTTCTCAGCAGTAACTTCTTCTAGCCACAGACTCTCCTGTGGTTCGGACCCAGAAAGTTAGAAAGTCAGGGAACAGCAGGCATCTATGTTTATTTGATAAATTAGGGAATGAGCTCCAAAGATTGTGGACTGCAAAGGAGAAACCCAAGTAACTGGTTCCAAGAAGGCTCCTCGGTCCTTTTGGGAAGGTTGTCTGAGGTACTGAGTGTGCTGGCCTCCCCTCCCTTTACCAGCTGATGGAACTCTCCCAGTGATGGAAAGCCTTCCCTTCTCCATCCTCCCAGACCCTACGAGAAACAGTAGCCTTCTTCTGGCTCCCTCAGCCTCATTAGAGCTGCTTCTCAGTGGTAACATGTTGTGTCTGAAAGGCCATGAGCTATAGAGAAGATGAGGCCAGGTTCAAACTTTATTTTCTCATAAAAATGCCTGACTTCAGGGAAATTAATGAATGACTCTGAGCCTTCGTTTGCTCATCTGTAAAAGTGGGGATGATAGATAGGATATACTTAGATATAAGAATTAAATGAGGACATGTACATATATATACATATACATATGCACTTAATAGAATAACAGGTACTCAAATTTTCATTTTCTTTCAGTCCTGTCAAAGAGTTGATCATTGTCTGATTTCTCAGAGAAGAAGGACTTTGTTGCTACAATGCCAATGAGTCCCGGCCTTAACGGCCGGAAAGATGGTGGTCCTGGCACCTCTAATTGCTCTGGTGTATTCTGTGCCGCGACTTTCACGATGGCTGGCCCAACCTTACTACCTTCTGTTGGCCCTGCCCTCTGCTGCCTTCCTACTCATCAGGAAACTGCCACTGCTCTGCAATGGTCTGCCCACCCAACGCAAAGACAGCAACCCATGTGACTTTGACTGGAGAGAAGTGGAGATCCTGATGCTTCTCAGTGCCGTTGTAATGATGAAGAACTGCAGATCCATCACCGTGGAGCAATAGATAGGCAACATTTTCATGTTTAGTAAAGTGGCCCATGCAATTCTTTTCTTCCGCTTGGATATTCGCATGGGCCTTCCTTACATCACACTCTGCATAGTGTTCCTGGTGATGTGCAAACCCCCACTATATATGGGCCCTGAGAATATCAAATACTTCAATGCTAAAACCGTTGATGAGGAACTAGAATGGGACAAGAGAGTCACTTGGATTGTGGAGTTCTTTGCCAATTGTCTTAATGACTGCCAATCATTTGCTCCTATCTATGCTGACCTCTCCCTCAAGTACAACTGTACTTGAGGGCTAAACTTTGGGAAGGTGGATATTGGACGCTATGTTGATGTTAGTACACGGTACGAAGTGAGCACATCACCCCTCACCAAACAACTCCCTACGCTGATCCTGTTCCAAGGTGGCAAGGAGGTAATGCAGCAGCCGCAGATTGGCAAGAAAGGACGAGCTGTCTCATGGATCTTCTCTGAGGAGAATGTGATCCAAGAATTTAACTTAAATGAGCTATGCCAGGGAGCCAAGAAGCTATCAAAGGCTGGAGACAATATCCCCAAGGAGCAGCCTGTGGCCCCAAGCCCCACCAGTGTGTCAGATGGGGAAAGCAAGAAGGACAAATAGGATCCTCACCTTGGCAGTGCTTCCTGTCCATTCCAGGCTCCTTCCATAACCACAAGCCTGAGGCTACAGCCTTTTATTTATGTTTTCCGTTTGGCTGTGACTGGGTAGGGCAGGGTGCTGCTTCTGATTTTTAAAGAGGCATCTGGGGAATTGTCAGGCACCCTACTAGAAAGCCTGCCTTGCTGTGGGCCAACTGTTTCACTGGAGCAAGAAAGAGATCTCATATGGTGGAGGAGGACATGGTTTCCCTCCAAGATTGGGCCAGTGTGTTAACTGCTTATCAATGATTCAGACATCTCCATGATTTCTCCATGAAACTGTGGTTTTGAAGAGGGAGACCTAGGCATCTCAGATCAACTTCCAGTTTTCATATGTGATTCCTAATACTGTAAACAGAAACCTTTTCATATGTAATTCCTGAGACTGTAAACCAAAACCTTTTTGATATGCAATTCCTGAGACTGTAAACTGAGACCCTTTTCATATGTAAAGCTATAAACCTAAGATTCTTCCACGTGTAACATCTAAAGTATAAGCCTATATAAAGGCAGAACCTTCCTCTGTTAGGGGAGCTTGGCTGTTAGGCAACTATGCCACCTTGCTCCAGGCCGAATAAACCCTCCTTCCTCCTGGATTTGGTGTCTGAGAGATCCGCTTCCCAAGGCCGCTCCTGCTACATTTTTGGTGCGACGGCCGGGAAGTGAGTCTCGGATAGCAGACGGTGGGAAAAAGTCTCTTAGGTGGTTTGCCTAGCCCCGTGGAGCATCCCTACAGGGGGACTCCTGCTCGCTGGGGTGATGCATCCTGAGAGCGTTCCTGGGCAGGTATTTGCCTGGTGGAAAAGCCTTGCCAGAGCGGAGCAGGGAGGCCCTGCAGTGCGGATCCACCCAGTGGCTGAACACCGAGGAGGAACGAGTATTTGGGGAAGTCCCGACCACTGAATTTGGTAAGATTGAACCTGGGAAAGTAGCCCACCCCATTTGGTTGGAAGCGTGGCCCGATCACCCACGGGTGCCAGATTGACACTTTTGAAGGTAGCTCTCTCTGTAACTAACTTTGGAAGCTTTTTGCTTATGGTTTCGAATTGTAAGGAGAGCAATCAGATGTGCGTCTGTGTGTGTAGATGTGTCCAGCCGGACTCATCAGTCGTAAAAGGTATTGGGCCCATTAGGAAAAGCCTCATGACACGGGGGATGGGGAGTTGGGGGGGATAGCATGGGGAGAAATGCCAGTTATAGGTGAAGGGGAGGAAGGCAGCAAATCACACTGCCACGTGTGTACCTATGCAACAATCTTGCATGTTCTTCACATGTACCCCAAAACCTAAAATGCAGTTTAAAAAATGAAAAATAAACTAAAAAAAAAAAGAATTAGAGACAGCCACATAAGGCTGAGTGAAGAAGCCTCTGGGCATTGTAAAAGGATTGAAGTGAACGTAAATCGGAGAGTGCTCTGTGCTGCGTCTTACTAGGTGGGAACAGGAACTGCTGTGAGTGAACTAACTCTCTCCTAACAGTGGGAATTGTTTCTTTGAAGTGTTAATAGGGTCACTCCCTTAGCAAGCCCACCCCTTTAGAAACCATGCTGAAAATTTTGAAGAAGGGATTTAGTGGGAGTTATAAAGTAACTACGACACCAGAGAAATTAAGGGTTTTATGTAGGGAAGACTGGCCAGCATTTGAGGTCAGTTGGCCCCCAGAGGGAACCCTAGACAGGTCCCTTGTCTCCAAAGTAAGGCATGAGGTTATATATGGTGAACTAGAACACCTCAATCAATTTCCATACATAGACTCGTGGTTGCAGTTAGTTTTAAACCCTCCAAAGTGGCTAAGAGAGCAGGCAGCAACTGTTTTAGTAGCCAAGGGACAGACTGCTAGAAACCATCATCCCCCTCACTGCCGAGAGATGGGGACTCCTAAGGTCCAGGCAGATTCAGAGGCAAGAACAACTCCTAAGGTTTTGGTCGACCCAGCAGCAGAAGAGTTTTTGTCGATAACACCTCCCCCTCCTCCTCAAGGACTCCCTGCCCCAGGGCGGGAAGCCTTGGCATCCCCACCAGAGCTGCACACCCCTAAATCCCCCAGACAAAAGAGAGTGTGGAAAAACTCCACCAATTGCTTCCCACTTCCTGGAGGAAACTCCCCCTCTGGCAGCCCATCTGCGACCCAAGGCCGGGGTGCAGATGCCTTTAAGAGGTACATGGTAGTGGACGAGGATGGCCACGTGGTAGAAAGGCGTGTTTTCACATACCTACAGTTCACCTCGGCTGATGTTATCAATGGGAAAAGTAACAACCTGTCTTATACCAAGAAACCCCAAGCTCTCAATAATACTGCAAACTATTATTCAGACTCATAACCCCATTTGGGCTGATTGCCATCAGCTGCTTATGCATCTTTTTAACACAGATGAAAGGCAGAGTATACTCCAAGCCACTTCTAACTGGCTGGAGGAGCATGTTCCTGCAGATTACCAGAACCCCCAAGAGTATGTCAGGGTCCAGTTACCAGGAACTGACCCCCAGTGGGATCCAAACACCCTGGAGAGTATGCAAAGGCTAATCCGGTACAGAGAAGCCTTGCTGGAAGGATTTTAAAAAGGGGCCCAGAGAGTAACAAACAATAAAGTCTCTGAGGTTCTTCAAGGAAAAAAGGAAAGCCCTACCCAATTCTATGAAAGGCTGTGTGAAGCTTACCACATGTACACTCCTTTTGATCCTGAAAGTCCCGAAAACCAGCATATGATAAATATGGCATAAGTTAGTCCATGTGCAGAAGACATTAGATGAAAATTGCAGAAACAGGCAGGATTTGCATGCACGAATACCTCACAGTTATTAGAAATAGCTAACCAGGTGTTTGCAAACTGAGAAAAGGTGAGCCAGAAGGAAAATCATAAAGAAAGGGAGCGCCAGGCTCAGCGGAATGCCGACTTGATAGCTGCCACGATTAAAGGAGCGCCCCCAAGAGGCCGGGAAGAGAGGGGTTCCTGGAAGGACTCCCAGTCTGCCCGCCCATGCCTACAACGCAACCAGTGCGCTTTTTATCGGGAAATAGGACATTGGAAAGAAAAATGTCTACGGTTAATGGGAAAACAGGGAGACCCTGAGCAGGAGGCTTCAGACAAAAGCAAAGGGGCTCTGTTCAATCTAATGAAAGGACCATTGGACTGAAGGAGACCAGGCTCCATTGCCCCCAAGAAGCCCATGGTCAGGAAGACAGTAGGGGGCAAGGCCATTGACTTCCTCATCGACACAGGCGCTGAATATTCGGTGGTAACCACCCCTGTGGCCCCCCCATCAAAGAATACAACCGACATTGTTGGAGCTACTGAGGTGTCAGAAAAACAATCCTTCTGTTTGCCTTGGACTTGTGAGCTGGGGGGCATGCAGTGATTCACCAGTTCTTATACATGCTTGATTGCCCTTTGCCCCTGCTAGGAAGGGATCTGCTCAGCAAGCTACGGGCGACCCTAACCTTCACAGAGAATGGCATCTTACTGTTGGCATTGCCTAAAACTGGGGTCATAGTGGCCCTCAGAGTGCCTCGTGAGGGAGAGTGGAGACCCTTCTTAACAAAACCAGACCAGGAAATAGAGCCTGAGTTAGCAAAACGATGGCCTAGGGTCTGGGCAGAGGACAATCCACCTGGGCTGGCAATTAACCAGGCCCCTGTACTCATTGAAGTAAAGCCTGGGGCTCAGCCAGTTAGACAAAAGCAGTATCTAGTTCCCCAAGAGGCGCTAGAAGGCATTCAACTCCATCTAAAATGCTTAGAGGACTATGGAATTATAGTTCCTCATCAGTCTCCATGGAACACCCCCCTCTTGCCTGTTCTCAAACCAGGGACCAGCGACTACAGACCAGTACAAGACTTGTGCCTGGTCAATCAGGCCACAGTGGCTTTGCACCCAACTGTGCCTAATCCATATGCACTGCTGGGATTATTGCCAGCAGAGGATGGTTGGTTCACCTGCTTGGACTTAAAGCACGCTTTCTTTAGCATCAGGCTGGCTTTTGAAAGTCAAAAACTATTTTGCATTTCAATGGGAGAAACGCAGAAGCAGGTGTAATCACTCAGTACACCAGGACCCAGCTTCCCAGGGGCTCAAAAACCCTCTCATCATCCTTGGGTAGGCATCAACCTGTGACCGCCCCCCAGAAGCTTCTTGCTTGCATGCTGCCCCGTATGCTGATAACCTTCTATTGGGACACCCCACGGCAGTCGGGTGCGCAAACAAATGCCTTACTTCAGCACCTGGAGGACTGTGGGTATGAAGTGTCTAAAAGGAAAGTCCAGCTTCGCCAAAAAGCAATGCAGTATCTGAGGCTCACCATCTGGAAGGGAATGCAGCCTAGAAGCAGAGAGGAAGCAAGCCACTTGCAGTGACAGAACCTGAGACTAAAAGGCAGGTGAGAGAGCTCCTGGGAGCGGTGGGTTTTGTAAATTGTGGATTTCCCAACTTCACAGTACTAGCCAAACCCCTCTATGATGTGACAAAGGGTGGAGACAAGGAGCCCTTTGAATGGGGATCCCAGCAGCGCCAGGCCTATCAGGAACTGAAAATGAAACTAATGTCAGCTCCAGCTTTGGGGCTGCCTGATTTAACAAAGCCCTTCACATTATATGTGGCAGAAAGAGAAAAAGTGGCAGTTGGGGTCCTAGTCCAAACAGTAGGACTTTGGCCCAGGCCTGTAGCTTACCTCTCCAAGCAGCTGGACGAAGTTTCCAAAGGATGGCCCCCATGCTTAAGGGCCCTGGCAGCAACTGCTCTAATGAATACCAGAGGGCACCACTGGTTATCAAATGTTAGGCTGACCAAATACCAGGGCCTGCTATGTGAAAATCCCCGCATCACCATTGAAGTCTGCAACACCTTGAACCCCGCCACTTTGCTCCCAATGTCAGAGGGTCCGGTTGAACACAACTGTGCTGAAGTCCTGGACACAGTCTATTCCAGCAGGCCTGACTTCGGGACCAGCCATGGACAGTAGCAGACTGGGAATTGTATGTGGTTGGGAGCAGCTTTGTCAATCCACGAGGGGAAAGATGTGCAGGCTATGCCATGCTAACTCTGGACACTGCAATCGAGGCCAAATCCCTGCCTCAGGGCACCTCGGCTCAGAAGGCTGAGCTTAGCCTTAGCGCTGAGTAAAGATAAGGTTGTAAACATTTACACCGACTCTCGATATGCCTTCCCGACTCTCCAAGTACATGGAGCACTGTACAAAGTGAGGGGCCTGTTAACTCCAGGGGAAAAGAAATAAAGTATCAGCATGAAATTTTGCAACTGCTAGAAGCAGTCTGGAAGCCCCGGAGGGTGGCGGTCGTGCATTGCCGAGGACATCAGCGGGCCCATACCTCCCGGGCCCTGGGAAATTCCCGAGCTGATTCAGCACCTTGTAAGGCAGGATCTGCACCCTACTGAATAGCAGTTACAGCCCTGCTCATTCCCCAGATCCCTGATCTAATACCTACTTACTCTAAGGAGGAAAGAGACTTTCTCCAGACAGAAGGGGGCAACTGACTAAAGAAGAATGGATCAAACTGCCAGATGGAAGAATAGCAGTACCACAGCTGCTGGGGGCCGCAGTTGTACCAGCCGTACATGAGACCACTCATTTAGGTCAAGAGTCACTTGAAAGGATGCTGGGCCAGTATTTTTACATCTCACGCTTAGCAGCCTTAACGGAAACTGTGGCACAGCGATGCATTATGTGTCGGCAGCACAACGCGAGGCAGGGTCCAACTATTCCCCCTGGAATTCAAGCTTATGGAGCAGCTCCATTTGAAGATCTCCAGGTAGACTTTATTGACATGTCCAAGTGTGGGGGACATAAGTATTTGTTGGTCCTGGTGTGCATATACTCTGGATGGGACTGAAAGCGTCCATGAAGTAACCCGTGTGCTGCCTCGAAATCTTATCCCTAGGTTTGGACTGCCACTGAACATCGGAGCATACAGTGGACCAGCATTTGTGGCAGATTTAGTCCAGAAAACAGCAACGACCTTGGGTATCACCTGGAAACTGCACGCTACCTACCGACCTCAGAGTTCCGGAAAAGTGGAAAAAATGAACCGGATCATCAAAAACAGCTTAGGGAAACAAGATTAGAGTGGGTGCAGGCACTTCCCTTGGGGTTATTCAAAATTAGAGGCACCCTCTTTAAGGAAAACAGGATATTCCCCTATGAAGTCTTATACCATAGGCCTCCTCCCTTACTCTGGGCACTCCTAGAAACTCCTTGGGAGTGGGGAGAGATTGAGTTAGGATGCTAGTCACCAGCTCTAAGGAGAATAGCTTAGGATACTTCAACCTGAGTAAATAACAAATGTCCTGTAAGCCTTTTTCTCCCCAGCTCACCCTTTCTCACTAGGTAATCATGTGTGGATAAAGGATGGGAGTACAGCCCCTCTAAAGCCGCAATGGAAAGGACCTCAGACCTGATCCTGACCAATCCCACAGCCGTGAAGATAGAGGAAATCCTAGCCTGAATCCACCACAGCCGTGTAAAAATCAGCAACAGCTGAGACTTGGACCAAGGCAAGGACTGCAGAATCACCTTAAGAAGGACAATAAGCCTTGCTCCAGCCACATCCCGGAAGCTGGCTGGTCCACGCACGGCCGAAGCATGAGGAGCTTCATCGTGGGACTTGTTCTTCTTAATATTTGGACTTGTACAGTAGGAACATTAACTAATTTTAAAGAATGCCCTCAGTATGTACACCAGGTAGGACGTAAAAGTTACTGCCATTCTTTTGTCCTGCGGTTCTTATAAATGTACAGGGACACAGAAGGGAACCTGTTTATATAATGGTACTCAATATAAGGTACGTAATCCATGAGATGGACAGGTAGCTATGTCGTAGGCATCATTAAGCCCTCTTCCTTTCTATTATCTATTAAGACAGGTGGGCTGTTAATGTATTCAGTCTACTCTGCTAGGGAGAAAAGAAACCTAAAAATAGAAGATTGGACAAATGATAAGTGGCCACTGGAGAAAATTATTGAGTATCATGGGCTGGCCACATGGGCGGAGGATGGCTCATGGGGATACCGGACCCCTATTTACATGCTAAACTGGATCATCTGGTTGTGGGCTGTTTTGGAAATACTCATTAATGAAACGGGCAAAGCTCTGCCCCTCTTGGCCTGACAAGAAATTCAAATGAGAAACACGATTTATCAGAACTGGCTGGCCCTAGATTATTTGCTAGCAGCCAAAGGGGGAGTCTGTGGAAAATTCAATCTAACCAACTGCTGTCCGCACATAGATGACCAGGGTCAAGCAGAAGATATTGTGCGAGACATGACCAAACTGGCACACGTGCCTGTACAGGTGTGGCACGGATTTAACCCTGAGTCCTTATTTGAAGATTGGTTCTCATCCTTAGCAGGATTCAAAACCCTCATCATAAGTGTTATAATAATAATAGGTGTTTGTTTGCTGCTCCCTTGTCTACTCCCCCTGTTCCTTCAGATGATTAGCGGGTTCATCACTACTGTAGTTAGCCAAAAAATGACATCACAAGTGTATTATATGAAACATTAACAGTCGGTTTCTTTAGAAAATCTGGAAAGTCAGAAGGAAAGTCAGAATGAAAGTAAGACCCCTCACTAATATTATAAAGTCGTGAGGGTCTCAAAGGTGGGGGAGGGGGAAGAGGGAGACCCAGGCATCTCAGATCAACTTCCAGTTTTCATATGTGATTCCTGAGACTGTAAACCAAAATCCTTTTGATACGTAATTCCTGAGACTGTAAACCGAGACCCTTTTCATATGTAAAGCTATAAACCTAAGATTCTTCCACGTGTAACATCTAAAGTATAAGCCTATATAAAGGCAGAACCTTCCCTTTGTTAAGGGAGCTTGGCTGTTAGGCAACTATGCCACCTTGCTCCCACCCGAATAAACCCTCCTTCCTCCTGGATTTGGTGTCTGAGAGATCCGTTTCCCAAGGCCGCTCCTGCTACAGTTTCATTATTCCATCTTAGCCAACCTGCACAGCTTAGTTAGACCTAGATTTAACCCTAAGGTAAGATGCTGGGGTATAGAACACTAAGAATTTTCCCTCAAGGACCCTGGCTTATTTTTGGCCTTCATTAAAAGTATAAGCCTAACTTTGTCACTAGTCCTAAGGGGAAATCTTTAACCACAAGTTTTTAATCATTGAAGACAATATTGAACAACCACCTATTTTGTGGGGATTGAGAAAGGGTGACTAGAGGCTTGAGACATTCCTTTGTGCTATAGGACTTGGAGGAGAAATCCACTGGACTTTAACCACTCTGACCAATTCCCCACACCCAGTTGATGGTTTTCCATGATAAAAAGATTGGGATTTCCTTTTGAGAAAAAAAAAAGGAAGACTTTGTTTTCTGGGAGTTAAATCCAGTTGTCTTTCCTCTCAATTTAGGACTCTCTCTTTCCAAATTACATTGTCCGTTAAGTCAATAGCCACCAAAGTTTCAGAGGCAAGAAAATAGCACATAATCTTTGCATTTGCACATATAAATGTCAGAAGCATATTTTCTAGGAGAGGATTTAAAAAAAAGTCCTTTGGCTGTAAGTCCTATGGACCCCACCAACCTGCAGTCTGAGACCCAGAAACAGAAAAATAAAGAGAAGAAAACATTTCGAACCTTAGTTGAAGTTGCTGCCAGAGGTCCAGTCAAGGGAGGAGAATTATCTAAGGGGGAAGGGGAAGCCGCTCGCTATTTAAAGTGTGGTTCCAGAACGCCCCTGTGGCACTTGTAATTCTAAACTTGGCCCAACCCACATTCCACCCTTGTGCCTCCCCTTCCCCTTTTCTGCCCTCCCCTCGGCCACTGGACAACACACACAGGAGTGATTTCGCAGTCTGGGGAATGTGCACACCCCGGCAGGTCCGGCCAGCTGCTGGTGAGCTTATGAAGCATGCTCTCTTCCCCCGGACTCCTGTGCTTTTCCCACTTGGTGACCTCAGGGTCTCTCTGGAGGGCTCCTGCCTCCCACCCCTGTCTCCAACACAAGTGCTCCTCTCAGTCCATCAAGAATAGGTGTTCATTTGGTCAGGTCCTGTGTAGACTAATTTAAAAATACATTTATCTTACCGTTTTGCAGCTTGCAATGTGGAATGGACAATGATTTGGGAAAAAGAGACATAGATTACAGAACTCTGAGATGTCAGAAAAACTTCCCAAACACACACATTTATGCACATATGGAAAAAGTCTGAAAAAATCTTCACTAAACAGTTAATAGTAGTTACATTTGCAGAGTGGAACTGAGATCAGGACATGGTAGTAAGGGAGATATTTTTCTCCACTCTATCAATATTGTTTGAATTTTAAAATAATATACTAGCATTTTTAAATATTTGTAACTCAATAGAGAAGTTACGTGCCAACGTTTAAAATAAAGCAAAGCCCTAAATCTGTCATAAGTGAAGGAGCTGGCAGTGAGCACGAGGCAGAGGTCATCCAGGGAGCTTCGTTTTTCTGCAGGAACAGCCCACGGAGCAGCTGTGACAGCAGTTCATTCAGGCTGGAGTCTAGAACAGGGCAGAGTCCCAGCTCAGCCACATGCACGGTGCGTGTAGTGGAGACCTGCTCATGCTTGACACTGAAGAGTGTGGGGTCTGAGTCCTGCGTATGCCACTTTCTAGCTTGAGATTTCAGGAGATGATGGGTAACTGTAAATCGTAGCTCTTATTCACTCTTAAGGGATTATTCACAGTGAGCAGGGAAGTCTTCTTGAGAGACCCCTGAGCAAAGCTGGGCTCTGGCCAGACTGTGAGAATGAGCTGGGTGGGGGATGTGGCAGTGAGTGAGTGAGGTGACAGAGATATCTTGAGATGCCAGAGAGGTGAGGAAAGGAAGATGCATCAGGGAGTCTAAGGTAGTTTCCATTTCCTTGATCTCTCACCTAACTCTATGGCGTGGGGTAGGGGCAGGGAAACACTGCATGGTAATACCTGGAAAGCTTCCCAGAAGCTTCTTGGAAATTATTATTCTTATGTTTCAGCTGCCCCTGTTCCTCTCCCCTTTCAACCTCTCATCTGTTAGATTGAGCTGTGTAAAGCAATGAACCAAAAGCATCCCGAGATAGGCTACAAACTCATGTAAAAGAAGACCATCTTCAAAGCAATGCTACTGACTTCCATTTTTACTTGTCATTGAGTGGTACTTACTAATGGCCCACAAAGCATTATAAACTTTGGCATTTGTAATCTAAAATTACCAGATAACTGGTGTTTTCTCAGATACCATTCAGCTTTTGGCAATGTTGCACAGCCCTTCTGTGTCCTCACACATGCAAACAGTTGCAATTTCCAGTTTTCAGGAAAGTCTGTCAGTGATAAGGACTTCGTCAGGCTTATCTGGAGTTGGCTGTGAGTTGCTGCTCTTGTATTAAGGAACGTTGGCTTTACTTACCAACCCTTTTGTTTTTACATAACTGCCGCCATGTTGCCATTTCGACTGCTGTTTTATTCCCCTCCAAATATTTGTTACCCCCAATTTCTTTTTCCCCTATAAAGCGGGAATGGCTATGGTAGGTTTTTTGTCCTGCTTAGGTTGACAAAAGTTAAAGAAAAAAGAAAAAGCTTCAGAACCACTGGTAGATAAATGTTGGTGACAGTCCCTCACAGCTTTCTGTCTGGGGTTCAGCACAAATCAGGCATGACTAGCCTTGCATCTACTTCACGTTGCCATCGTCCTTTGGTCTGCTGGGTGCAAAGTCAAGAACCCTGAAAACAGGTAGCACCACAATCAGTATTTAAGAGTTCTTACTCAAGAGGTTGCATACATTTTAAGACTCACTAGAGACTATTAGTGAGGATGAATGAAGGCTGTGCTTCCAGCACTTTATAAAACAAATTGAATCATGCAAAACGCAGGACTAGGAGGTCCTGAGCTGTACCAAGTTGATCCCAGGTATATTTAAATGATAGTACACCATGATACACTCTCCCAAAACATTTTTCATTCTACTAGGAGTGGAATAAGAACAAATAAAATTTATGTAGTTTGACATTTCACTGAAACAAATTTTAAAAGGAGCATTATTTGTTTCAAGAAGGAATATTTCTGAGCAACATCAAGGTGGCAAAGGAAGTGGTGGGTTCTCCTCTGGAGACCTTTCAATTAAGAGATGTAGTTCTGCTGAGTCATAGGAGTCAAAAACCTGTTGACTTTTTGGATCCCTTTTCAAATAGCACACTGAAAGAAAAGAGCAAGTAGAATAAACAACAAATTATGCCTTGCTATAACTGGAATAATTTGAACAACAAAATGAATAATGATTGTATTGGACTGTAGCCCAAAGAGCAAAGTTCACTAATAAGTTCATGCTGATACAAATAACCAATAAGTTAGTAAGTGGGGAAGAGAGGATTGCTATTCCTTACAGTAGAATTTCAATTAATAAATGTAGAAGGATGCCGAGCATGGTGGCATGCACCTGTAACCTCAGCTACTCAGAGAGGCTGAGGTGGGAGGATTACTTCAGCTCAGGAATTTGAGGCAAGCCTGAGCAAGACCCCATCTTAAAGAGAAAGAAGTGTTAATAAATGTAGAAGGAAAGAGAGAAACAGAAAATCACCCCTAGACAAACACCACTATAATAATTGTTGCAGACAAGACCCACCAATGAATGCTAAAATGAGTGGGTACAAGCTCAGGGAGGAATCGAATTTTTACAGTCTCAAAATATTTCCCCCAAGATATTTATTAACTACAAAGGGAAAAATAGTAATGTTGAAGTAGAGAAGCCAGGCAGAAACCACCTTAACCAAATGGCCAAGGTCAACCTCACCAGTAATAAGACAGTAGTAAGACAGCAATATCTATATCATGAACCATGGATATAATGTACCAAGAGGGACACAACATTTCTGTGGTATTCTTGCCAAAAATGTGGTTCAATGGCAAGAAACATAAGACAAACCCAAAGTGAGAGGCATTTGACAAAATGATCACCACTCTTCAAAAGTGCCAAAGTATCACGAAAGACAAGATAGACGAGAAAGACTGAGGAACTGTTTTAGGCTGCAGAAGTCTAACGAAAAATAACAACTAAAGGCAATAACAGCTAAATAATAACAACTCGAATGGGATCCTAGATAGGATCCTGGAATAAAAAAGGACATTAATGTAAAAACTGGTGGAAGTTGCATAAGGCATTGAGTTTAATGGTACTCTCTCAATGTTCTAACAATTGTACTCTGGTTGTGAAAGATGCTAACATTAGGGGAAGCTGAGTGAAAGATAGACGGACACTCTCTGTGCTATTTTTGCAATTTTTCTGTAAGTCTAAAATTAGCTTAAAATCAAGTATTATGTTTTCTGTTTTTTTCTTTTTAAGACTTTTGTTTACACTCTGTTACAGCCCGAGTACTTGACCCTGCTGTGAAAAGCTCTGGGATGTTACATGTTACATGCAGATGTTACATGCAGATGTTACATGCAGAAACCAGAGGTGTCACTGAAGACTTTTCTGTTTGATCCCAGATGGGATAATTCACCTAAATTCTATAAGCTCCAATTTGTTTTCTTTCTCCCTTCCTTTCTTTCTTCCTTCCTTTCTTTCTTTCTCTCTCTTTCTCTTTCTTTCCTTCCTTCCCTCCCTCCCTTTTTTCCCTCCCTCCCCCTTCCCCTTCCCTTCCTTTTCTTTCTTCAGATAAGCATCTCACTCTATTGCCCAAGCTGCAGTGCAGTGGTACAATCATAGCTCACTGAAGCCTCAACCACCCAGGCTCAAAGGATCTGCAAAACTCAGTCTCCCCAGTAGCTGGGGCTACAGGTGTGGGACTAGCAAGTGATTTAACTATCTCTTTAATTACCACCATGCCTAGTTAATTTTTTTTAACCTTTTATAGAGATGGGGTCTTGCTATGTTGCCCAGGCTGGCCTTAAACTCCTAGCCTCAAGCAATCCTTCTGCCTCAGGCTCCCAAAGCACTGGCATTATAGGCATGAGCCACCATGCCAGACCCAAGATCTGAAAGAAACAAGACTCATGACAAAGAATATTAATAACATCAATCATTACGATTACTAATGTTTGTTGTGCATTTCAAACGTGCCAGGCATGGTGCTAAGTGCTATATAGGCACCATCTTGCTTTATCCTCAGAACAAATCTATGACTCAAGAATTACAGACATAACCATTTTAAAGATAGGAAAACAAAGGCTTAGAGATAATTAAATCACTTGCTAGGCCACATAACATGGTAGACCCAGGATTTGAACTCAGATTTGTGGAATTCTAAAGTCCATTATTTATTTATAGCTGCCATGCTATACTTTAATTGTGGGTGGGGAGTCAAGAAAAACACTAAAAAGCACAACTCTAGTACTGTTTATTTTGGCTATTGCTGGCCCGTGGGATTAAACATAACTTTCTTGGCAGTCGGCTTGAGTACTCCCTATAACGAGGAGGTGTTCTCGGCTGTCCCACCCTCCCCTAGCCGTTGGCACGCACACTGTGACCAAGAATGAGAAGTCCCTCAACCAGTGCCTGGCCAAGTGGAAGCACTTCATCTACAACCCCACCACCGGAGAGTTCCTGGGGTGCACCGCCAAGAGCTGGGGTTTGATCTTGCTCTTCTACCTAGTTTTTTATGGGTTCCTGGCCGTACTCTTCTCATTCATGATGTGGGTTATGCTTCAGACTCTCAACGAGGTTCCAAAATATTGTGACCAGATTCCTAGCCCAGGACTTAACGGTTTCTACAAAACCAGTGACTGTATTGCAATATACATTCAGTGTGTCTGACCCAACTTCCTATGCAGGGTACATTGCAGACCTTAAGAAGTTTCTAAAACCATATACTTTAGAAGAACAGAAGAACCTCACAACCTATCCTGATGGAGCACTTTTTGAACAGAAGAGTCCAGTTTATGTTGCGTGTCAGTTTCCTCTTTTGTTACTTCAAGCTTGCAGTGGTATGAGTGATCCTGATTTTGGCTACTCTAAAGGAAAACCTTGTATTCTTGTGAAAGTTAACAGAATAATTGGATTAAAGCCTGAAGGAGTGCCAAGGATAGATTGTGTTTTCAAGAATGAAGATCAAACAAATATAACAACATCCTCATAATGGAATTATAGACAAAATATTTCCCATATTATGGGAAAAAAAACTGCATGTGTGCTGAATGATGTACAGAGTCTAGAAGAAAAAAGCCCAAATCTTGTGCACATTTAAATCCTGTACGTAGGTATTTCCGTATTTCAGTAGATAAAGCAGTCATTAAATAGCATTGTTCACATTAAAAAAAAAAAAAAAAAAAGCTGAGTAATATTGCATAGGAGTACCAGAAACTGCCTCATTGGAAACAAAAACTATTTACATTAAATAAAAAGCCTGGCTGCAGGCTGCGTCTGCCACATTTACAGCACGGTGCGATGCACACGGTGACCAACCCACGGAGGCAGCTTCTGGCACTCACACCACGAGCTGCACGTTTGCCACATGAGAGTAAAGCAGAGGGTGAGAGGAGTGGTGGGGGGGGGTCGCATTCACTTCTGGTTCCGGAGCTGATTGGACCGCCAGTCCAGTCCTTCATAGAGCCCGTCGCCGCTGATGGCACAGGTGGCCTGAATGTACCAGTTCCTGTGGCGTAGGGAGTGCAGCCCCAGCTTGTCTGTGATCTCGGCCGCATTCATGGCGTTGGGGAGGTCCTGCTTGTTAGCGAACACCAGGAGGACAGCATCCCGGAGCTCGTCCTCAGCCAGCATCCTCATGAGCTCCTCACGGGCCTCGTTCACGCGCTCTGTCATTGCTGTCCACCACGAAGATCAGGCCTTGTGTGTTCTGGAACTCGTGGTGCCACAGAGGCCGGATCTTGTCCTGGCCACCCACGTCCCACACAGTGAAGCTGATGTTCTTGTACTCCACGGTTTCCACAATGGAGCCTATGGTGGGAATGGTGGTCACCATCTCGCCCAGCTTTAGCTTGTACAGGATCGTGGTCTTCCCCGCAGCATCCAGGCCCACCACGAGGATGCGCATTTCCTTTTTGCCAAAAAGGCCCTTGAAGAGGTTGGCGAAGACGTTCCGCATGCTTGTGGGCAGGTGGAAGGACACTGGCCAGGGACACCTCAGCGGCTGCTGCTCCGAGCCAAGTGTTGGTTTCGCTCCCACAAGATGGCAGCTCTGGCGGGACCAATTAGTGAGCTTTTATCTTGACCCTTAACTCTATGGTTCTCCATGTCCGCTACCCTGGGAAACATTAAGGAAATGACCGATGTTTAACACTCGCTCTTGAAGAGAAGATTCTGATTTAATTGTTCTGAGGTGACGCTTGAACACTGATATTTTTTAAAAAGCTCTCTGGATGTCTCTAATAGGCAGCTAAGTTTGAAAACCTCTGTAGCCTAATTGCTGCTGTTAGCTAATTTCTTAGTCTATCCTCAAGGAAGATATACTACAGCTGCTCTTATATCTGAAACTCCTTTTCAAAGCCACCCTCAGCTTTCTGTTCTCCAAGATAAATAATCTGAAACCCTTTCATCTTTCCTGAGAGTTCTTCCTTCTCACTCCCACTCACTGTTTTCATTGCTCTCCTCTGGAAGCTCTCCAGGTTCTGAACATCCCTGTCAAGTACTGATGTCCAAAGCTCCCTCAGGGCCCGTCTGTGCTGCCTGCCTGCTGGTTGCTAGTGCTGCTTGCCTACACAGCCCTGCAGTGTCAACTGAACCCTTGGTTTCCACCAATGGAGAAACTCAGCAACAGAGAGAGCTCTACCTACATGTCAGACCAAGAGGCAGAAGCCTAAAGAAGGTCCTGCAGCCTGACTGTTGGACAGGGTGGCCTTCCATAGAGTTCTGCTAGGTGGGCAGTGGAGAAGGAAAACTGAAGAAAGGGCATAAATGGAGAATGAGTTGAGAGCAAAGTTCAGCGTGATGAAAAAAATGTGTAACCTGGAAGCAGAACTCCAACATTCTAGTCCAGGATATAACCCGAAACAGCCACATAATCCTGGGCAATCCATTTTGCCTTTCTAGGACTTGTTTTTATGCATAAAACAAGAGAGTAAGACTGGGTCATCCCCGGGCTTCACTTCAGTTCTGAGTCTTCTGCAGCTGATCTCAGGCTTGGAAAGAAAGACTGCTGGTCTGATCATCCCCCTTCTAACTGCTCTGGCCACAGTTCTTTCTCCAAGCAACTCTAGTTATTCCAAGAGTTGTTATATTCCTAATTCCAACAGCCAATGATTATAGCCCAGACCTACCACCACTAGTCTGCAAGCTTCCTGAAGACGGTACAGGGCCATCTACCATCTCCTGAATACAGATAAAAGCCTAGGAGCGCTCAGCTCACACAGCAGACACTTGAAACATTTCCTCAATCTCCAGGAATCAGAGCTCCAAACAATAATGACAGAATAATAGATACTCACTTTTCATCAACAATCATAGCTACCAAAGCTTAGCACCCCATAAAGTCATCCGTGTTAGCAGTCATGGCACGTACGAGGCACCTTCAGGTACATTCTCTCATTTAGTCTTTATTGACAAGCCAGAAAGACTAGCATTATCCCTATTTTATAGGTAAGAAATTGAGCTTCACTCAATTGAATTGCTTCATTCAATCTCGGGCAATTGAGAAGAAAGCTAAATTGCCCGAGATTCCAAAGCTATGAAGTGACACACTCAGGATTTGGATGTCTGTCTGCTCCAGATCCTTCTGCTCCACTCAAGCAGATTTACCTTGCAGATAATACAAGCTTCAAGGCCCCTCCCTTGCATAGGTGCCTTCCAATCCCTTGTACCTAGTTTTGAATTCTTAATTTTGTGCCATTTTCCATAAAGAGGACCCTCCGCAAATTGTCTAAGCTTCAAGACCTACAATCTAGATCCGTCCCTGAACTCAGCTTTCCCTGTTAACAGAAACACCAGTCTTGTTGAGTAATTTCAGTGTCAGGATATTTTTCAAACATGAATTCAAGAGGAATCCTTGCCACTTTCTGCTGTGGGAACCTATGCTACTTCTTTAAAGAAACTAGCGTATGGCTTTGCCTTGAGCCATGTGGACATGGGTCACTCACTATTCTGTCTTCCCACTTACTCTGTGCCCAGGGTACTCTTCTCCCTCGCCAGTCTGTGGACTTTCTCTCTCCCTCACAACAGGCCTTCCTGAGTCCGGCTTTAGCCTGCAGCATGCCTTTCCATGCTGGTTGTCATCGGTCACTTTATTCTGTACTCAGTCTGTGGTACTGACTCTGTTCTACCCCTCCTGCTGCTTCTTTTGGTTTGCACTTTGGACTGGAGCCTGCTGCTGCTTTGGGATTGAGCATCAGCTGCTTTCTGTAGCCAAAAAAGCAATGCTGTTGTTCACTTGGAAAGGAGTGATTTGAAAAGTGGGGAAGAAGGGGGATTGCTGTATATTTCAATTTCTGTTAGGTAGGCTTGACTATCGGAATTCAGCTTCTTCTATAACATCTTGTATTTACCCATCAAAATATTCTAACACTATTTTTTGTCTACTATTTCTTCCCTATATCTTGACCTTAGTTATCAGATCTCTCTTCTTTAGATTTTATATGTATAAAATTTCCCTTTTTTGTCCCCTCTCTGCAAATCAGAGAGGGTGCAGATACAACTTTGGAAAAACACAGTTTAGCAAAGAAATAGCTTGGGAACTGGGGCTTTCAGGTGAGCTCAGCACACCATTTCTTTTTCTCTCTGGTCTGTCCGCTTGCCATCTCCTATAGCTTTAATAACTCCCATATAGCTACAACCATCTGACAAATGAGAAAAATCTTTGCTTAGTACATAAATTATTTATCGTACAATGGTAACTTAATTTGTAATATTAGAAAAACCAGGATAGAACTAGGCGATTTACACATATTTCTAAAATACATTTTCCATCAAGGCATTAGCCATCTTTCAGAAATGTTTTGTTTGTTTTTGAGATGGAGTCTCACTCTGTCGCCCAGGCTGGAGTGCAGTGGCGCGATCTTGGCTCACTGTAACCTCTGCCTCCCGGGTTCAAGCAATTCTCCTGCCTCAGCCTCCCGAGTAGCTTGGATTACAGGCACCTGCCACTATGCCAGGCTATTTTTTGTACTTTTAGTAGAGACAGGGTTTCACCCTGTTGACCAGGCTTGTCTTGAACTCCTGACCTCAGGTAATCCGCCTGCCTCAGCCTCCCAAAGTGCTTGGATTATAGGCATGAGCCACCTAAAAAAGAGTGCCCAGACTCTTTTTTAGAAATGTTTAGACATGGCCAGGTGCAGTGGCTCATGCCGGTAATCCAAACAGTTTGGGAGGCCGGGGCGGGTGGATCACCTGAAGTCAGGAGTTTGAGACCAGCCTAGCCAACATGGCGAAACCCCATCTCTACCAAAAATACAAAAATCATCCAGGCATGGTGGCAGGAGCCTGTAATCCAAGCTACTCAGGAGACTGAGGCAGGAGAATCGCTTGAACCCAGGTTGCAGTGACCTAAGATCGCGCCATTGCACTCCAGCCTGGGTGAAAGACTGAAACTCTGTCTCAGGAAAAAAAAAAAGAAAGAAAGAAATGTTTAGATACGATCCTAGTGGTAACAGAAGCATAGAAAAGTTGACATTAGGATACGTGAGAATCTCAGAGCCATGTAATTCTAAGACATGTCTTAGGATGTGTATGTATTAATCCACAGAACCTACAGCAGTTAGAATATTAAATATTTTCTAGACAAGAACTGCAAAACACACAAAGCCAGCACACACCCATGCCCTTGCTGAGTTGTAAATGAGTCTGAGGAGTCACCTGTCAGTAGCAGCATGGCAATCCCATTAGCTAGGAAAGAAATCACCGTTTACTACTGACAAACTTGTGATGAGATACTTTAAAACTCTGAATTCTGCTTTCAGTTTCTTCTCTTGCTTCCTGTTTTCATACTACACATGCTGCTAATTTACAAAACCCCCAATGTATCCATACCTAGGAACAAAATAAAAATTCTTGTGATGCACAGGAAAGGACAATTTTCAATGATGAGGAAATCCTCACATTTCCATTTCTGAATAGAAATTACACCAATTTTTGCTGATGGCTTCAAAAAGCACAGGCTGTAGAAGAGAAAAAAATGTACGGAGAGGAAACTAAATATACTTAACCATACATACTGTGAATACTATAAATTTTAAAATTCAAGATCTGATTCCTTCAGACAGATTCCTTGAAGACTAAAAGCATGCTTTGTATAGATATTAAAAGGGATATGAACAATTTGGAGGGTGTTCAGAGGAGAATCAGTAGAGTTAAGGAACACAGTTGACAAGATTTGAAGATTTCTATTTTCCAAAGAAGTAAATTTGTTCTACTGAATGCAGGATATTGGCTAAAGGTCAGTTATAAAACCTTCAAACTGCAGCAGTCTTTTAAATGTTAGCCCAAATATAAAAAGTTACTGCTTTTCTTCTCATGAACATTAAAAAAACAAAGATATTACACTTACCTTTTTCCATCTAACTTGAATAGGAAAGTATGGATAGGGTGAATTTTATGTGTTGGTGCAAAAGTAACTGCGACCGCAGTTACTTTTGCACCAGCCTATATTAAGCCTGCAAAAGTTAGCTTCCGTTCTCAGGCACTTCAGTCTGTGTATAATGCAGCACATTCTGTGTGAGTATAGCGGACTCAGAGGTGGCCTCCCACAATCCCTGCCCCCCTGGTGTTCACATCCTTCCGTGATTGTCTCTCAGCATGGGCAGCACCTGGGACTTGCTTCTCACCAACAGAATAGGGCAATGGTGGCAGGATGGATGTGATTATATATACATGTTTACATTACATAGGACTGTAACCTGGTCTTGCTAGCTTTGAGGAAGCAGGTAGCCACGCTGGGAGAGCACAGGGGCCAAGGAACTGAAGCTGGCCTCTGGCCAGTGGCCAAACAAAAACTTAAGGCCCTCAGTCTGACGACCCAAAAGGAACTAAAGGCTGCCAACAACCACGAGTTCAGAAGTAGATTCTTCCTCAAAATTCAGATATGACACAGCCTTAAACACCATCATGATTATAGCCTTGTGAGACCCTGGAGCAGGGTACCAGCAAAGTTGTGCCCTGACTCCTGACATAGCAATTGTGAGACAATAAATGTGTGTTGCTTTAAGCTGCTAAGTCTGTGGTAATACTGTTATGCAGCAGTAGATAACAAATACAGTAAATACACACATTTGTAAAGTTGTGTTTGCTATTTGAGGTTTCGGAATGACTATATGCACATATGCAAAGAAATGCAAAGCATTTAAGAAATGTAGTCAACAGAGCAATAAAGAAACTTGGCATTCCTCACACCAATCAATTCAAAATGTAACAAAGTTAATAACATAAAGAATAAAACTATGAAAGTCTTAAGCAAAATCATGGAGGTATTTTTATTGTCTTGTAATGGGGAAGGTCATTCTAAGCACATCAGGAAAACCAGGAATTATAAAATAAAGATATTAAGTTTACATCATAAAACTTAACTTTTATAATTAAAAAAAACCTATAAATAAGGTTAAAAGACTAATAACAATGTGGTCAAAAATTTCCAACACAAGACAAAGAAATAATGTCCTCAATATACATAGCTCATAAACATCAAGATTCAGTATAATGCAAAACTATACAGCCATTAAAAACAATACAAATCTATATCTATGGTCATGTACAAATGTTCTCATTATTAAGTGAAAGAAGCAAGTTACAAAGCAGTACATGGAGTGTGATCTCATTTACGCAGAGGTGTACACAGTTGTATATATGCATACGTAAATAAGCAGAGTTGCCTGAAAGTAAATCTTAACTGGTCATTTTGGGGTAGATTATTTTTTCATTATTTCTTTAATAAAAACAAATGTGCATGCACTATTTGTTTTTTTAAAGAAAAAAGAAATATATTTTCAAAAAAAAGTTTTAGAAATGTTTGTGTACCTATGAAGCAAAAGTACATTTATTTGGCAGAGAAGTGAAACAGACAGCAAAACCTCTAGTGAGAAAACACCAATGTGAAAGAGTAAGGAAAATAACTTTCAGGATGGAATCAACACCAATACATGCAAGCATTACTGAAGACATCATCTCGGGGAGAATGTTCCTGAGGTAGCTCCCAGCTAAAGGGGGAAAAAAAGCAGACTGGAGATATTTTAAAATAACTTGGGGAGAGAATGGTAGGCCATTTTGAATATGATACTAAAATGTATAAAAGGAAAATAACAGAATGGTCTATTAAGTTCCATTATCAAATTAATGATCTTTGTCTTACTGGTGATAGATCCATACATTGTATGGATGGGAACCATAAATATGAAAATATGTAAAATATACATAATTCTTAAAAATCATTATGATTTCTCATAATGCATTTAGAACTATGGTTCTCAACTCTGGCTACATATTAAAAATCTACTGAGAGCTTACAAACAAAATCCTGATGTTTAGGTCTAGAAAAGGCAATTAAGAGATACTCGGATTAATGGCCACCTAGAGTTGGGAGTAGAAACAGGGACGGACTGAACAGACATGAAGTTTCTTTTTGGGTGATGGAAACATTCTGAAGTTTGTATGATGTGGTAAGGGTTGTAGAATTCTGTAAACCTACTAAAATC